CTGAGGAACTCTGGGAGTTGAAGTCCACAAGTCTTAAAATTGCCAAGGTTGGACACCCCTGGTTTAAACGGTCAGGTGGCTCCTGGCACCATCCCTTATTTGTGGAGCTTTTTTTACCGAACAAAGCTTTCAACTAATTTAACGCTCTTCCCGTGAAACCTGACTGCCCCCCCCCCCCCCGATTCCTCGCCACCGCCCCATCTTATTTCTTCCTTTTGTTAGGGGGCACACCGGGGTCAAAGCGGTCAAGATGGGGGAACAGGAGCTGCCTGTGAGGTGTGCCAGGCGTAAAAAGAGGGGTGGGCTTCCAATTGCACAGCTTCCAATTGCCTTAATAAATTAAACCAAATAGCTTTAGAGGCAAGGCAGGAAAGGGAGGGGTTCCCCCCCCCCCCACTTTTCCTAGTATATACAAGGATTATGGGGAAGCACCCTGGGGTGGGGGTGGGGTGGGGGGGAGATGTAAATAGCCCCCGAACCCCTTTTGCGGTGCCCTGAAATTCTCCCGCTGCTTGGACACAAAACTCTGGTCCCGTTGCATCTGCCGCTTCCTGGTGGCTAATTTCCCTCTAGCGCAGGCCCAGTTATTCTGCGGGTCTCTCCGGAAGTTCTTGGGTGGCCGGCAGAGTTAAATCGGACCTTTCCCTCTTCGGGTTTTTGGGGGGAGAGGAAAGACAGGACAACGACCCTTGGCGGGATCAGCTCCTCCAGGGCCCCCCCTCTCCCACTCCTCAACTCCCCAAGGTGCAAACTACCTTCCTAAAAAGCAAAGAGGGGCCTGGCCTGTCGGGTTAAACGGCCCCGAGGAAATTGGGCTCTCTTTTATTCTCGTCAAAGGGTGCCGGGCTACCGCCAAGGCCTGCTCTGCAGGCTGCTGCTGCTGAGGGAGCGGGTGGTCAGGGGCGCCGTGGCCGGGCTGGCGCTGGGCAGGTTCTGGCTGCTCTTCACGGCGACGGCGGCTTTGCAATCCCGGGCGGAAGATCCGCGGCTGAGGCGACCTGGGGAGAAGGGATCGAGAGGAAAGGCGATCAGGGCACACGGGCTGGTCCAGCAGGAGAGCTATGTTAGCGGGTGGGGGGGGCGTGAAAAACCAGATTGATAACATTATATTTATAACATTAAAATAAGATTTATTATAATAAATAATAATATATCTTCTCCTTTTACAAGTAGTCCTCGACTTATGACCAAAACGGAGTCCAACATTTCTGCTGCTAGGCGAGACAGGGGCTCAGTGGGGTTTGCCCCATTTTTAACGACCTGCCTGGCCACCGTTAAGTGGGATCGCCGCAGTTCTTCAGTTAGTAACCCATTTGTAAAGTGAACCTGGCTTCCCCGTTGACTTGGATTGTCAGAAGGTGGCCAAAGGGTATCCCGTGACCCCAGGACGCTGCGGCTGTCATAAATACGAGTCAGTTGGTGAGCGTCTAAATTTGGACCATGCGACCACGGAAATACTGCAACGGTCACAAGTGTGGAAAACGGTCATAAGTCGCTTTTTCCAGCGCCGCTGTAGTTTTGGATGGTCGTTAAGCGAACTGTTGTAGCACCAGGCACAGGAGGATCCGCCAGTGAAGTTGGGAGATGCCACCACTATGACTTTTTTGACACATGAACCAGCCAGGGTAACAATCCATTCTGGAGACCCCGGCCTCTCTGCTTTGGTTGCCCAATTAAAAAGTCACATTAGGGACAATGGCCTGGGACCGTCGTACATGAAGGACAGCAGGGGAGCCTTCCCAAATCCAGCCCTACCTCCCATGTGCCAGCGCTCCATCAGCGTGGCCGTGGCAGGAGGTCCTCTGGGGCGACGCGAAGGGCCGTCCCAACGTTTGTGCCAGTTGTCTGAAGTTGTCGCAGCTACACCCCAGACCGGTCACCTAGCGACCTCTTGTAGCCAGGCCTGCACGAGGGTCTTGTGGGGGGCAATGGGGGTGGGGGGTGCCCGTACCATTTGTTGGGAACCCCTGACAGCAGCCGTGCTGTCTCCTCCTGGGTGGGTGCTTGTGGGTGCTCTGGGTCACAATTTGTCCTTCTTCATTGTCCTGCATGTCCCCATTGACCCAAAGGTGCTTTTCTTTTTTTTCCCCCAAAAGGCAACTGGAATCTCTTGTTTTTTTTCCTTCTTTTCCCTTGAAGACGGGTCGCTTCTCATCCAAGAAGCTTCTTCAGTTCTAACCGAAGTTTTGCAGTTCTTCTTCAGTTAGAACCGAAGAAGCTTCTTGGATGGGAAGCAAAAAAAATTTTCAGGGGAAATAAAAAACACCTGAGAAAATCCAGTTGCCTCTTGGAAAAGCACCTTTGGGACAATGTGTCCTTTTGACGCAGAGCCTGACGTGGCCTGATTCAGTGGTGGGATTCAAATTTTGTTTAACTATACTGGTTCTGTGGGCGTGGCTTGGTGGGCGTGGCAGGGGAAGGATACTGCAAAATCCCCATTCCCTCCCCAACCCACCTAACCTGCTTTCCAGCTCCGTTTTCCTGTGCAGGGCAACCAAAGAAGACCCAGCCGACCATCTGGGACTCAATGGGAGGCAGAGAAGAGATATGGGGTTAACGGGGCCAGTCAGAGGTGGGATTGGCCGGTTCTCTGAACCACTCAACATTTCCGCTACCGGTTCTCCGGAATGGGTCAGAACCTGCTGAATACACCTCTGGCCTGTTTGGACCCTCCTAAGCCCAGCACAAATTCCCCCCCAGAACCGCCCTGCAGGAAGGAGGGGGTGGTGGTGGGGTGGCTGCCTCTGGCTTTGCGGCTTTTGAAGACAAACGGGAGCGGGGAGGTCTTACTGGCAGGGTCGCTGGGGAACTGTTCTTCCTCCAGGTAGTAGTGTATCTTTTGCAGATCCTCTGCGGTGAACCTCCACTTATTCTCAGCGGCCTGGGGAAGTGGGGGCTGGGGAGTGGCTTTCTTCCGGGTGATCCCAGGCTGACTGGCCACCAGGCAGGAGGCGGGGAAGGAGCCGGTCACCAGGCCTTCGGGGATCTTCTGCGCAATGACTCGGAGACCTGGGAGAGGATGACAGGATGGCAGGGAAGTCTCAAAAATATAGATAGGTAGGACTGCAGAGAAAAAAAAAATAGTGGCAACCAGCCTGCCTTCCATGGAGGACCTGTATATACTGCACCCTGAGTCCAAAAGAGGGCTGTGAAAGTATCTACAGACCCCTCAGATCCTGGACATAAACTGTTTCAACTCCTTCCCTCGAAATGACATTATACAGAGCATTGTTGCACACCAGAACAACTAGACACAAGGACAGTTTTTTCCCCCCATGCCATCACTCTACTAAACAACTAATTCCCACCATGCTTGTTTTATGCCCTGGGATGTCAAACCACCTAGTAAGGCTGCAATATTATTATTATCCTTCTCATTTTTCCTATTACCTATGTCCTTAGTGTCTTGGGACTAGCACTTTGTGGTTTGTATCTCATGATTGATGTTGACTGCTTTTATTTCGTATCCTACAACTATGACTGAGTGTTGTATCTTATGAATGTCTGATGATTGTATTTTATGATTATGATCATGATTTATCACTTGTTGCTTATATGTACACTGAGAGATTATGTACTGGAGACAATGTCCACAGTATCCAATCACATTTAGCCAATAAAAAATTCTATTCTGTTCTAATTCTGTTCTAATTCTGTTCTGTTCTGTTCTGTTCTGTTCTATTCTATTCTATTCTATTCTATTCTATTCTATTCTATTCTATTCTATTCTATTCTATTCTATTCTATTCTATTCTATTCTATTCTATTCTATTCTATTCTATTCCATTCCATTCCATTCCATTATTTCTATTCTATTCTATTCTATTCTATTCTATTCTATTCTATTCTATTCTATTCTATTCTACTCTACTCTACTCTACTCTGTTCTGTTCTCATTCTCATTCTAATTCTAATTATGTCCTGTCTTATCCTATCCTATCTTATCCTAATGTTCTGTTCTATTCTATTTTTTATTCTACGGGTTTTCAAACTTGACAGCTTTAAGACTTGTGGACTTCAACTCCCAGAGTTCCTCCTCCAGTCATGTTAGCTCAGGAATTCTGGGAGTTGAAGTCCACAAGTCTTAAATTTGCCAAGCTCTTGCTCTATTCTATTCTACTCTCTATTCCATATTCTATCCTATCCTATCCTATCCTATCCTATCCTATCCTATCCCTATCCTAATGTTCTATTCTATTCTATTCTATTCTAATTCTAATTCTAATTCTTCTCATTCTAATTTTTTCTCACTCTAAAAAGCTCCATCCAATTACAGGGGTGGAATCACGAGCGCCGGTCCTCATGCCAACTTCCTTGCCTTACTCTGTTGCTCAGTGGTTCTCCTCAGCTGGGAAGGAGAAAGGTCTGGGGGGGGGGGGGGGAGGTTGCTTCTAATGCCTCCTAGCCTTCCTACCTCCAGAAAGCATGAACAGATTCTCGAAGCCCCTCTCACACATGGTGGTGGCTGCTTGGCTGGCCACCCTCTCGTCGTCGTCATAAAGGATGATAATCTTCCCGTGAGCATTTTTCTAGGGGATGGAGGGGTTAAGGATCCAAAGTTCTGTGAGGGGGAAGATTTTTGCTGACGTTTCATGACCCAACTAGATAGCATCATCAGTGCTAGAAAGGGCGTAGATATATAAAGAAAGAGCAAACCCCACATCTTCCTGACACCGATGATTTTAGGCTCAATTATAGTTGTGGAGTGGATGGCTACAGTTTACATGGTACATAATAAGTGGCATCTTGGATTCCAAAGCCAGACTCACAAAACCTGAGGAATAACAGCGTCCTCTTTCAAAATCCCCGTTTGCTGCAAGGTCGGTTACCGCTGTAGCTTCCCCAAATTTCTAACGGTAAAGCAATGGCACTTTGGCGGTTGCTACTTTTACACGTTAAGCGGGAATTCCTGCCAATAAGCCTGCTCCGTTGCCCCTTTCCACTTCATCATAAAGGATACGTATTCCAAAATGCTGTTGGTGTAGGGATTCATCGTTCGGGAAAGAGTAGCGATGGGATAGGAGTGAGCTGGAAGGCAAGAGAAATACGCTAGAAAAAAGGCGCAAAGGAACCTGGGTCAAATAACAGAGGATGGTTCCAAAGCAACACAGATCTTATATGGAGATGGAGGACAAGCTGAACTTGGCCCCTTTAAGAGTTGTGGACTTCAACTCCTAGAGTTCCTCAGCCAGCCAGGATTTTGAACACGGGGCTGTTCGGTTTGGACGGCAGCATCCGTTGCAGGGAGGGCTGCCCTTCTGTCCTCCCACAAAGTGGCCCCCCGCAGGGAAACGGTGAGCGCCTCCGCGGTTCCTACGCCTTTGGTTCTGACCCAGCCTTTGCAAGTAGTGAGGTGAGTAAAACAAACCCCCTTTTGTAACAAGGCAATAACGGTCTTTTATTCACGTGGATGAACAAAAAACAAACACACGTAAATCGGTCCCAACAAATCTGGGCTTGGCCCAAAGAATCCAAATTGCTTGCCGTAGACTAGAAATGAACGGTTGTCTGCGACAACTAACCCCTCCCAAACCCCTCCTATTTATTTCCCAGGCAGGTCTGTGTCTGCTTTTTCCTGAGAGCCGGCTTATTGCTTTCCTTTGTTCTCTCCTCTCCTCTCTACGCATAGGCGCATCTGGGGTGGGCCCCACCTGTTCCACCCTCTCACTCAGCTCAGGCCCCGAAGACTGCTACTTCTTCACCTGGGGGAGGACGGAAGACCCTGGTTCAGCCTCTACTTCCTCGTCAAAGCCTTCCAAGGTCTGACTCTGCCACTAGCTCCGCTGGCAGCCGACGTGCCACAACACCTTTGTCTCACCTCCCACAAGGTGGCACTGCTCGTAGGCGTCTCGCTCCCGCACGTCCAGCAACAGGTAAGGGCAGTCGGGATAAGGCCCGTGGTTTGGAACCGTCCACTCCGTCTCCTTGGGGTTGCCTCTGCCCAGGTCCAGCTCGCCCACCCCACTGATGACGCTGGGAGAAAGAAGAAACGTTAGGAACCCCGGAAGAGGGTTCCCCTGGCTGGACCTAAACTGGCAGCTTCTGCAGCTGTCGTTCTCGGAGACAAAGTCTTTGGGGAGGTCAGCAGAGAGGGGGAAGATGCCCCCACCCCCACCCCCCCATCATAAGTGTTGGAGGGCTGAGAATTTGGGTCTGTAGAGATTCTCAGTCATCTCAGCCGTGGTTGTCCCAAAGGTGCTTTTTTCAGGAGGCAACTGAACTTTCTTGTTTTTTTTTTCTTTTCTTTGGAAGATGTTTCGCTTCTCATCCAAGAAGCTTCTTCCGCTCTGACAGGATGGTGGAGGGCAGAAGGACTGATCTTCCTTGCAGACAGCTGGTCATTTGCATCCTTTTAGAGAGTCGTTGAGGCCACTTGGAGGTTGGAGGAAGAACAGAGACAATCCTCCAAGTGCTTCAAAAGGCCCTCTAAAAGGATGCATATGACCAGCGGTCTGGCAAAGAAGATCGATCCTTCTGTCCTCCACCATCCTGTCAGAGCGGAAGAAGCTTCTCGGATGAGAAGCGAAATGTCTTCACAAGAAAAAGAAAAAAAACAACAAGAAAGTCCAGTTGCCTCCTGAAAAAGCACCTTTTTCTGAGAATTTGGGTGTTCTGCCTCCTTTTTTTAGGCTTGTTGCAAAAATAAGGATGATATAGATCGAAAACTAAGTTCAGGGAGAATGGCAGAAGGGAAGCTCAAACCCCCACAGGTTCAGACTAAGGTCACCTGTTATCAAATCTGACAGAAGAGACTCTTTGTAGCTCAGGCTTGAACTTGTGAGGTCCCAGTTGCTCTCTGAGCTTGGTGGCTTTCCTGCAGACGTTTCATGACCAACCTAGGTAAAATCACCTGTGCTAGAAGGGTTTGCGGAGAGGACAAAACTCATTTGACCCCTGTGTCTTGCCCCTGGTGGAGTCTGACTGTGAGGAAGAGGAGGAACAGCCAACAGGGAGTGGGAGTGTGGCTCCGGAGGTGGTGGAGGAGGCTGGGGAAGGGCAGAGGCCGGCTGGGCAGTCAGGGGAGGACCCAGGCCCATCCCCTATCCATCCTAGAGCACGCAGGGAGGAGAGGATCAGGGAAAAGCGAGGTCTACTCAAGAGGAGATTACCATGATCCTCTTCGTGGCTTGCAGGTGGGAGCGATGGATATAAGTTTGCAACTGCGCAGTTAGAATTTGCAGGAGTCAATTTAGCGTTCACCTTGAAAGAGGTTTATCTTGGTTGGCGTTCTTCCCGTGGACTTTTCTCGGTTATTTTTTCCTGGAGTTAATGATTAGTTTATCTCGGCTTGCTTCGGAAATCTCATCAATGCGGTTTGTTTTGGTTTTCTGTTTGCCTCCTTATTTACTTTTGTGACTTTAAACTGGGCCTAATAAAACAGTGAAGTTAAGTTGAAGGCCTTACCGGACTTTAATGTATGTTTTGGGTTTTGGGTTATTTTGAGAGACTACGGGGTCATCACACACTGTCTTGCTTAACAGCAGAAATGTTGGGTTCAATTGTGGGGGTAAGTTGAGGACTACCTTGTACTGTCAATCTCTCCCTTCTAACTGGGTTGTGACTAAGAATGGAGACACCATGGTTTAACCAGAGGTTCTTGCGGGGAGCTAAGGGAATCCCCATGCGGAAAGGAGAGGAGAGAGGGAAGGAAAATGGAGGGGAGAGGGAAAGAGAATAGAGGGGAGGGGAGAGGAGACCTCTGCATATCAGATACCTCTGCAAGGTGGAGCGATACGACTCTCCCGCTCCGGTGTTGTTGATGAACAGGATGGGACTGGCTGGTTTCTCCTCGGGGCTGCCTTTGCCGTTGGTCTCTGCTATCTCTAGATTGGTCTCTGCAGGAGCAGCGTCGCCTTCTGAAAAAGGGGCCCAGTGAAAGGCGCGTGAGGCTCACCTCGAGAGGCTGGAAACAGCCCCAGGGTCCTTCTGCCAGGATGACTCTGTGATGGAGGGCTGGCAAGCAGGAGTCGGTGTCCCTCTCTTTCCCCACCCCTGTTCCCTTGCAACAGGAACCCCTTGATCCGAAGATATTATGAAGTCTTCGAGACTAAGGCCTTGAAATGCACCCACGTTTTTAACATATTTATTTGTATCCTGCCTTTATTGTTTTTTACAAAGCTCAAGAGGGTGAACAGAACCACCACAGCTTTCTCTTCCTATTTTCCTCACAACAACAATAACCCTGAGAGGTGGATTGGGCTAAGAAAGAGGGACTGGTTCAATGTCATCTAGTCGGCTTTTAAACCTAAAATGGGACTAGAACTCGCAGCCTTCTGTTGATTGGCCCAAAATCACCCAGCCAGCTTTTGAGGCAGGATTAGAACTCATAGGTTCCTGTTGATTGGGCCAGAGTCACCTAGCCGGCTTTCATGCCTAAGGCGGGATTAGAACTCACTGTCTCCTGGTGACTGTCCCAAAGTCACCCAACTAGCATTTGTGGCTAAGGTGGGACTACAATTCACAACCTCCTGGTTTCTAGCCTGATGGCTTTAATCATTAAACCAGCTGGCTGCCCCCATTCAGATACTATATCAATCGTTACATAGGCCTCTGACAAGAGGCAGGGCAGAGGTTTTGCATCCAGAGACCTCCCCAAGTGTGAAATGTGAGAGTCTCATTTAAAAGTCCCCCCAAATTCCACAGAGGGACTCAGGTGTGTCTCTGGCCTCAGGATGTGTATACCTGTTGTTTGACATGCAACCCGGAATGGGGTAGAGGTGAAACACAGAACAGCACAAAAATAAATTAGCACAATATAGATGAAGTTTTTATACGAATAATTGTTAAATGTTTGTGTGCTTTATCTTGCTGTAAGCGGTCTGGAGTCACCTTGAACCACGATATGGGCAGCAAATAAATTTGATAGAGAGATAGAGAGATGGGAAGATGGAAAGAAAGAGAAGAAAGGAAGGACGGAAGGGAAGGGAAGGAAGGAAGGAAAGAAAGAAAGGACAGTACATTTCTAGCCAACCCCCTTACATCATAGGATTTTTTTAAAAAAGAACGTGAATTTAATTTGTAAGCCATCATGTGATGAGATGGGCAGCAAAGACATTTAATAAATAAACAAATTACCATCTAGTTTTTGGCCTTCTTCAGGTGGCCCTTTCAAGGTTTCATCCGACAGAGTGGCCACCTGAATCACCTGCAGGAAGAAGAAAGGGCAGAATCAGCTCAGTTACACCGGGGTGTCAAACTGGTGGCCCACGGGCCAGATGTGACATGCGCAAGCCACGCCCACCCCAGCTCCACGGAGAGAAAAAAACGTTGCGAAACGCCATGCGATGGCAACATGCCGCGCGTTTGACACCCATGGCCTAGTACAATGTTTCTCAGTCTTGACAACTTTACGACGTGAGGACCTCAAGTCCCAGAATTCCCCAGCTAGCGCTGTTAAGAGTGTTGGTCTCTTTAGCAATAACACTCAGGCGTCATGAACTTTCCGTTGCTTTTGCCAAGTGTTTCTCACCTGAGGCCACTTTTAAGGTGTGAGGACTTCAACTCCCAGAATTCTGGATTGGGGTGGGGGACGGACGGACGGGGATGCTAGCTGGGAAATTCTGGGAGTGGAAGTCCACACAGTGTAAGGCTGCCAGGGTTGAGAAGTTGCAGGACCGCAGGCCTGAGACCATGAAGTGGGGGAGGGCCTTTCTAAAGGCAGAAAATGCCCACTCCCCACCCAGTTTCTGTACAGACCCCACTCAGCCCCACTGAGGTGGCCAGAGCTGTAAGGGAGGGGAGCATATTTCATATTCATGGACAAAAACGGGAACATACCAGTTGGGCAAAAGTAGACACTTTTAGTCTCTTGAAGAGCTCGTCTTTCTTGTATCTGTAATCTGCAAAACACAAAACACGGTTAACAAACTCAGTGGAGGACCTTGCTTTTCATTTAGAAAAAAAACTCCTGCTTTTTCCAGACAGTTCACACGTGTGTTTCAGGCACAAGTCACCCACAACAGGAGCTGAGTTCAAAACACTCAAAAGTTTATTACAAGCTACCTGTACACAAGAATCTGATTTACTGATGGCCAAGACAAATTGGTGCTTGAAAAGGGTCAAGGGAAATTCATGAGGGGCTGGACTTGGGTCTTCTGTGGGAACACAGTGACTCCAAACTGAGAATGCATTTGACCCCGTCCTTGGGCTCGGCCTGCTCATCTCCTCCAAACCTGGCAACTTTAAGACTCGTGGACTTCAACTCCCAGAATTCCCCAGCCAGCCATGCATGGCTGGCTGGGGAATTCTGGGAATTGAAGTCCACGAGTCTTAATGTTTGGAGTCCCCTGTTTTATATTGTGAGCTGCCCAGAGTTGTTTCAACGGGGTGGCCATGTAAATCTTTCCAAAAAAATAAGCAAATAAATCCAGTTCACATACTTTTTTCTCCAGTTTTGGTTTCTGAACTATGTAGAATTAACGGAAGCAAAACTTCAGCCCAATTTGAGATCTGCCATGACAAATTCCTTATGTCTCTAATCTTGACTCAGCAGTTTGAGAAAGCCCAGACCACGGCTGTCATTTGAAAGTGCAGCTGTATCTTCAGTAGGAGAGCATCTAGTTTTCTTTGTGCTTTGACAAAGCAGTTTATTTTATTTTGAATCTACCCTGCCTTTATTATTTTTATAAACAAGTCAAGGTGGCAAACATATTACCACCTTCTTTCCTCCTGCTATTTTCACCACGACAACCCTGTGAGAATGGGACCAACGTCACCCAGCTGGGCTTCAGGGCTAAGGCAGGACTAGAACTCCCTGTCTCCTGGCGATTGGTTCAAAGACACCCAGCCAGTTCTCATTTCTAAGATCACCACTAGACCAAACTGGTCCTTGGATTTCATCCATTTAAAGCAAGCTTGAAAGCAGGGGTGTCCAACCTTGGCAACTTTCAGTCCCGTGGACTTCAATTCCCATGCATGGCTATAATTGGGGAATTCTGGAAGTCCACAGTTCTTAAAGCTGTCAATGTTGGACATGCCTGCTTTCAATCTCTTTTAAGGGGTTTCTTCCCACTGCACAATTTAGCATGTGCCAAGCCCTTCCCAGGCTGATAAGCAGAGGTTTGATGAATAGGAATGATAAGAGTTCCAGATAATATGAGCAAAGAAAAGAAGAATAATTGCTTGACTTATTATTTTCACCGTCTACAGAAATGGATTTTGGCACTATTAAAAAAAAAATCTTTCATCACCTGACACTAGACTAGCCTGAAAATAAAGATGATTTCCCATCATGTTCAGACCAAGATTATTTATCTATTTGTCTATCTGTCTGTCTAGTGTATGGCATCTACAAGAGGTCTGCAAATCACTGATTTACAAATTTACTTTTAATTAAAGTATAAGCAAGTGTGTGTGTGTGTATAAATAAAAAGTTACATTGGAAAATTAGACCAAGATATTTTACTGCTAAAAATCCCATAAAAAAGCAAGCAACCACAACTACATTCAACAAGAGCTTCCTGACTAACAACATATAAATTTTGCACCTTTGGCCTGTTGGCTCCAATATCCTAGCCACGATTATAAACGTCTCCCAAATCTGAGACTTTCCTGAGACACCCGCTACAACATCCATCACCCCAAACAGCCCCCAAAATCACAGTTCCTCCCAAGTCCCCAGCGCAGTCTACCTGGAGCTGAGTCAGAAGATCCGTTTGAGTTTTCAGACATTTTAAATCCAAGATGCAACACCGGTTTAAAAAAAAAATTTCTTTCAGACCGGCGGGGATGCCGGTTTTGCAAAGAGAAATAATCTTGACTTGTTCTTCCTTGGTTCTATATGTCAGAGAGGCAAGTGAGGACGGCACTTGCGAGCGCCTCGGTTTTGATTTTCCAGCCTTTTGTACAACTTGAGTCGAGTTACAGAAGAAAGACAGAAGCAAACCTGTGCGAGCTTTTCAAATGGCCTCTTATGGTCTCCTATATCCCTGAGAAAGCTCAGTTACCTAAAGCCACGCACAAGGTGCTTATTCACTCAAAGAGCACACTTTGCTACCTAAGCAGAGTTTAAGCACAATGCAAGGCTGACAGAAAAGGACTGCGGAGTACAGAGTTCAAAGCACAAACAAAAAACAAACAAAAAAAAGAGGGCAGAAACACAGCAAGGATTGTGACAGTGTCACAACAAAGCACGGCTAGTGTTTCAGCACTCAAAAGCCCTCCGTTAAAAGGAGGATGTTATGAAACCAACTCTTTCAGCCGAACGAAGCAGTCAGGATGAAGAGCGGAGGAAGAACACTTAAAAAGAAAAATACACCTAAAACGAGGAGACCTGAAGTTCTGCCAATGTGACACAATAGTTGTAAGACCAAAGCAGGCAATTTAGAAACCTCTTACAGGGTTTTCAGATTCCATCAGGATCAGCCAACATTGCCGGCGGCAAAAGACCGTAGGAGCAGTGCTCGAAAAGGCAGAGATAGAAAGTACCCAGCGCCCATCCCTGGTTCATTAAGTTGGTTCCCATGTGCAAAAAACAGACACACCCAAATTCACGATGCAGGAAATGTTAGCACTGTGGAGGAGAGGGGTGGAGGGAAATGTTCTGCTTCTAATTAAGGAAGGTGTAGCCAGATTATGATACCGAAACACAGGAGTTAAATTATTCTGGGAAGATGATGGAACTTGTGTCGAGATGGGTCTTCTGGGCTCTTGTGGAAGCTGAGGAGAAAAGGAAATAAGTGAGGATGGAGCAGGGGGAGGAGGAGAGACCCAGACTGGTATGGCGGTGAAGGCGCTGACCTAGAAACCAGGAGAGTGAGAGTTCTAGTACTAACTTATACGTGTAAGCCGCTGGGTGACTGTGGGCCAATCACGAGGAGACGGGGAGTTCTAGTCTCACCTTAAGCGCAAAAGCTGGCTGTGTGACTTGGGTCAATCACTCAATTTCAGTCCAACTCAGTCCACAAAGTTGCCATGGGGAAAATTGGAGGATGAAAGAGTGTTAGATATGTTCACCTCCTTCAGTTACTTATAAAGGAATTAAGGTTGGATAAAATTCTAACCAATGAATAAAAATAAAAACAGCATCTTTTTGTGAATGTTCTACCAGTGCTTCTCAAACCTCCAAGCAACTTCTAAATGTGTGGACTGAAACACCCCAAATTCTCATCAGTGGCCATGCTGGCTGGGACATTCTGGAGTTGAAGTTCTCACATCTTAAAGTTGCCAAGTCTGAGAAAGGCTGGACTAGTCTACAACCCTGTGTGAGCTCTGATGATCGATGTTTGAGTGCATGATTGCAATAGGTAGTACTCACTTCTCTTGATCTCTTCTAGTTTTTCAGTGTACTTGGTCATACTGCTACCTGCGGAAGAAAAGACACTCAGTAAGGTACTTAGGAAAGCGATGACAATCTTTACCAAAAACTCAACTCAGCCATCTCTTTATTCCAAGTTAATTATTTATATATAATTAACAGGATTAGCAGGACTGGAAAATCAGAAATATCCTCAGAATTGCTGAGTCTGGCTTTGGGTGGTTAGAAATATTTATTTCTTGCATATCCTGCTCCAAAGTTCTCTGAAGAGAAGAATTTTTCCCCTGCCTATGTTTGTCCTCTCAGTAACAGATTATGTTAATAAGGATGAGAAAAGAAAGCCGGCTTCAGGGTTCAGCTTGTAAGTAGGTTATTTATTTTGCCAGGCACACGCAGGAACCAACCAATAATATTTATTCAGTCAATGACCAGCAAAATTTTTGTTACCTAGTTGGGTAATGAAATGTCTGCAAGAAAACAACCAAGCTCAGAGAGCACCAAGGACCCCACAGTTGTCAATGTTGTTATTTTCCTCCTTCCCCTCCAGCACTGATGTTTCCTAATTGGGTAATTAAATGTAGGAAAACAACCACCAAGTTCAGAGAGCACCAAGGACTTCACAGTCTTCTTCCTCCTCCTCCATTTTGCACACACCACTCCCTTCTAGAACTGATGATGTTCCCTAGTTGGGTAATGACATGTCTCCAGTAAAGGAGAATATGAGGGGTCCTTGGTGCTCTATAAGCTTGGCTATTTTCTTACAGATGTTTCATTGCCCAAATGAAGTAACATCATCTGGGCAAGCCATTAAGAATATAAACTGAGAGCAAATCCCATTCCTTACTAGAACTGATGATGTTACCTAGCTGGGTTAAGAAATGCCTGCAGGAAAAAGTCCAAGCTCAGAGAGCACCAATGACCCCACAGTTTAGTAAACTCTCAAGGGCAACCCATTCCTGTCGGCCATTGTGCCCTCATGGCCTGATCTCATGGTGCACACAGGCTCTGGATGAAGTCACAGCTTCTCACATGAAGTCCAGTGCTTGGATGTAGCAAATGAAAAACTCTTAAAGCACTTTGCTTTCTCTTCAAACCTCCCCTCTAGCCCCCCCCCCCTCCCAAAAAGGAGCAGATTTTAACTTACCGGTGTCAAGGCGAGTTTTTACATGCTGGTATTTAGGATTCTGTGGGATCCTTTTGGTCAAGAACTGCTTACCAGGAGCGGGAGAAAGTGAAAAGAAAAGGATGAGAAAATTACCCAGGAAGAAGGGAAAAACAGTACGACTGCGATATGCACACAACTTTTGAAAACAAGGACCACAGAATTACCATGCTAAAAGATGCACGATGCTGAAACGTCAAAGTTGATACAGGTAGTCCTTGACTTGCAACCATTTGCTATTTGAAGTTACAACGGTGTTGAAAAAAGTGACTTATGACCACGTTCCACGTTTACGAACACTGCAAGTGACATAATCAAAATGTGGGTGCTTGGCCACTAACTCATATTTATTTATGATGGTTGCATAAATAAATCCATGCGATCACCTTTTTCAATTTTCTAACAAGCAAAGTTTCACCATACAACTGTGCAGTGTTTCACTTAACAACTATAGAAAGAAAGGTCGAAAAATGGGCAAAACTCACTTAACAACTCTCTTGCTTAGCAACAGAAATTTTGGGCTCGATTGTGGTTATACGTCTTGGACTACCTGTACTATATATACACCTCAGTTGTATGCTAAGATTTTTCTCTTAGCGGGTGGGAGCAGTATCTGCTCTTCCTCCCCAATTTCTATAATTCCAGCATGTCAAGAGAGAGAAAGAGAGAAAAGAAAGCTCATTATGTGTTCACACATTACACTAAGCCATAATCCAGTCTATTTGGTTTCTCATTTGCCAGGGTTTTTTTTCCTTTTCGATTGGCAACTTATTTAATTTCTTTTTTCAGTAAATGAACATGATATTTCCATGACCCTGTCATTTCCTCCCAAATGTGCATTTTATTCACAGGAGAATCCAAATGTATAATGCTCCCTTCACAGCGCTCAAGTATCATCTAAAGGTCCCCCAGCCAGATTCACTTAACTGTGTGATTCACTTAATAATGACAGTGGATTACTTAACTGCAGCAAAAAAAAAAAAGTTAATAAAATTGGATATGACTCACTTAATATTCACCTCTCAGCAATGGAAATTCTGCTTTCCAATTGTGGCAGTTAAGGTGAGGACTACCTGCATTTAATTGCTGTAGGCTTCCTGTGTCAATGAACACTCAATCATCCAGGCCAAAAGTATATAAAAAGGTTAAATCATGGCAACTGGACCAAAGCTTGTTAATCTGAGACATTTTGTTACTCACTGACATAATTTCATCAGTCAAAATAAAAAATTAGTTAGGCAGAGAGTCTCTGACTTCGGTCCAGTTGCCATGATTTAAACTTCTTTAGATGCTTTGCACTTAAGTGTTGAATAAAACCCTGTTACAATTTGCTTAACAATCCTGATTTCACAATATTTGCTCAACAAATGAAGTTTAGGGGTTAGACTACATTGCTAAACTTGGGTAGTGCTAATCCTTTGTTTTTGGTGGCTTATATGTTGTATAAACCTTCCTATTTGGTTAAATTTTGGCTGGTTAATTGAGTTAATCTCGTATGTTTCTTGATTCCAATCAGCATGCATAAAAGGCATTCCCAGAAAGAGGAAAACTGTAATTTCAGGGCCTCTCACAGGGAGGTACCTGGCCTCATTCCACCTACACTATCTTGGTACGACACTGCCAAATATATTACTGCAGCTGTGGGAACTAAATTTCAACATATCTCAAGCAAACCAGGTTAGTCTACTTTCCGCTTAAGTTCCATTTCAGTTAAAGAAAAGGAAGACACTGAATATTTTGAGGTATGGGATCTGTTCTATCATTGGTTAAATAAGAGAAACAGGAGTTAAAAAACTCGAAGATTACAAGAGAAAGATCTCACTATTAGAGTTCCTTATTGTAACTTATTGTGATTAATTTTGATTAGTTTTACTAATTATGTATCAATGTTATGACGCAAAAGCACTGTTACCATAAAATTACCATTAGAGAAGACTATTATTGATTATGATGAATATTACTCCAAGAAATGTAACCACCAATATACAGGCACCACATTGTATATATGGATTTTGAAACATTGCTCTTTCTTTTTATTTATAATAATAAATAAATATTTAAAAAAATTAAGAGGCTACATCGGAGAAAAAAGCTATGACTTTCACACTATTATTAAAGTTGCTAATCCATCTAAAAAAAAGAAGTTCAATTTCAGGAAGGTCTACCACCCTCCAATTTCTGGAGAACAGAATTCAATAATGAATTCAGATGAATTAAATAATTAATAAAAGGAGTCGTAAAGATGCTTTTTTTTTTCAAGAGGCAACTGGACTTTCTGGTTTTTCTTTGAAGACATTTCGCTTCTCATCCAAGAAGCTTCTTCAGCTCTGATTGGATGGTGGGGGGAAGGATTTATATTCCTTTTGAGACAGCCAGTTATTTCCATCCTTTTTAGAGAGTCATTGAAGCTACTTGGAGGTTTATCTGTGTCCTCAGGGCCACCTGAGTAGTGCAAATGGTTCCTGTAGTCTGCCATTTTTCTGGAAATCCGTTCATATTTCCACACCACTTGAAGGGTGTTCAGCCCAAAGTCCAAGGCTAAAATCTATGGAGATTCTCAGTCCTCCAGGTCTTGGTTGTCCCAAAGGTGCTTTTTTCAAGAGGCAACTGGACTTTATTTTTTCTTTGAAGACGTTTTGCTTCTCATCCAAGAAGCTTCTTCAGCTCTGACTGGATAGTGGAGAATGGAAGGATTTATACTCCTTGTAGACAGCTGGTCATTTGCATCCTTTTAGAAAGCCCTTGAGGCCACTTGGAGGTGTATCTCTACCCTCCCTCTAACCTCCAAGTGGCCTCAACGATTCTCTAAAAGGATACAAATGACCAGATGACTCAAAGCCAGGCTCTCCAGCCCAAATAGCTGAGCTGCAGGATCTAAGGAGCTTCTACTCTTCAGGGAGACTATTTGTAGCTCAGGGTTGACATGGTGCTCTCTGAGTTTGCTTGTTTTCTTGAAGACGTTTCATTACCCAACTAGGCAACATCATCAATGCTAGAAGGGGAGAAGGAAGAGGAGGAGCAGGACTGGGGGGAGGGCGCTCCTTGGTGCTCTCTGAGCTTGCTTGTTTTCTTGAAGACGTTTCATTACCCAACTAGGTAACATCATCAGTGCTAGTAAGGAGTGTAGTTAGTTTATATTCTGCTGACTTGCCCTTTCAATGTTGGTGGGATGATCTTAGAGGTTCCTTGGTTGGGCTGTTTACTGTTGGCTCTTTGTCAGTTTCTTGATTGTGGTGTTTACTTGATTGTTGGTCTGATGTTAACCTTGGAATTAATGTCCCAAAGGTGTTTTTTTCCCCCCCCAAGAGGCAACTGGACTTTCTGATTTTTTTTTTCTTTGAAAACGTTTCGCTTCTCAGCTGAGAAGCTTCTTCTTCAGCTTCTGACAACCAAAGTCCATGGAAAAAGCCAGATTCACTTAACGACCAGGTTCCTAACTTATCAACTGCAGCCATTCACTTAGCCACTGTGACAAGAGGGGTCGTAAAATGCGGCAATACTCACTTAATATTTTACTTAACAACGGCAACCCGGATGTTCTGCTTCGGATACCGCGAAGCCCTCTCCCACTTACGACCAACCTTCTTGGGTTGGAAGTTACGTCGGCACTTTAAAAACCGACTGACGAGCGGTCCTCGCACCCTGTGGTGGTCACGTGATCAAAATTCAGGCGCTTGCCGACTGATTCGTGTTTATGACCGTTGCAGCGTCTCGAGGTCACGGGTTCCCCTTTGGCGACCTTTCCGACAAGCCAGTGAGGTCATTAAGTGAATCTCTCTCACACACACCCCCATTGACTTTGCTTGCCTGAAAGCCCCCTGAGGTCACAAATAGAGACACACACACACCCCGGACCTCAGGACACTATAACCTTCCTAAATCCACGTGGCCCTGAATTCAATCCCATGGACGTGAGGGTGCAGCAACGGTCATAAGTGCGAGAACCAAGGCTCCTACGTCACAGTGCCGATGTAAGTCTGAACACCAGGACTCCTTGTATTTCCCCCCATCCACCCAAATCCAGGAGAGATTTGGAGCTGGTCCCCCTCAACCCGTCCTACCTCGCAGGGTTGTTGTAATGGCAAAGAGATCCAGGGGCGCCACTTATGGGTCTGAAGCCCCTAGAACGGGCTAAATAGAGCCGTATTTATATATATAAAAAAGACCAGGTTGCCCCCCCCCAACACCCAGTGCTTTAAATCCCGATTTTTGCTTTAAATTCCGATTTTCTGGCTATTGTCGCGCCGCCCCCCCCATTCAGAAGTACCAGAAACGCATAAATAGAAGAAAACAGGCCCCATGCTTGATTGACAGGCCCCCTCAACGACTCCCTCAGGATATTGGGGACCCCCTTCACTGCGACCAGGCCTGAAGGAGGGGGCTTCTCTAGGGCCGAGGCCGGGTCCCGAGGCCTCTTCAGGGCCCTCACGGTTTGGGGGGGGACCCCTCCTCAGATCTCCCCCCCTTAAATCCGGGGTCGCGTGCCTCCTTTCCCGCCTTCTGGGAAGCCCCCCTCACGACACACACACACACCCCACGGCGCCCACCCCCCTTCTTACCTCAGGGACGCCGATGCGCCTCCTCGCCGACATCCTGCCCAACTGTCAGCCTCGCGCACGTCCCGCCCCTCCGCCGGCCCGCGCGCCCCGCGCCAAGGCCAATCCGCGCCGGCTTTCAGACCATCCCACCTCTCCGATTGGCCGGTCCCCGTGCCCATTCGCGCTCTCTCCCCACCCCTCCCTCCGAGCGCTGTTGCCAAGTCCGTCGCCGCCCCCCACGCCCGCGGATTTTAAAAGTCCCGGTTCGGCTTCCCCTTTCGCGCGTGCGCGTTGAGGGCCACGGGTGGGGGACTGAGGCGAGCGTCGGCCGTTTCCCCGGGTGACGAGGGACGCCTCCGCGCGCCTCTGGTTTTTTTTTTTTTCTTTTGGTTCCTTTCCGAGGGATACTGAGGCGGGATTGTGACGTAACAGGGGCTCTGGGACGCTTCACCGCAGTGTCCTTCCGCTGAGGGGGGGTCTTGCACGGGAGGGGAGGGGCTCGGAGGAGAAGAAGTAGTGCCTTTGTTCCAACGCGGGTTCTGACGCGTGTTTTCCTCCTTTCTGCGCTCACACGTGTTCCGTGGGGTGCAGCTCACCTGCGTGGGTGCATTCAAAACCCAGAGGACCTTGATGTTTTCCCATGGATACCCTCCATTTATATTGGCTGCTCATTCTGGGATCTGGAATCCCAAACCATCTAATGTGTGTTTTGTGTGTCTGTGTGGTTGTGTGAATGCAACCAAGTTTGTTTCTTCTTCCCCCCCGGACTCACCCCCCCCATCCAGGGTGTGGGACTCGAATTCTCCCATTTTCAACCCAAAATATGAACATTAAATTCCAAATCATTTCTGGGTTTTCATTTATAAATCACAAACCTTGCGTTTCAGACGAAATTAAGAGCAAGGGTGTTTCTATGGGCTCTGTTTTCTCTCTGTCTGAAGGGATCCCAACAATTTTAAATGGCAATTCTAGGCTTTTGAAGAAATTAAGCTCTAGGGGTCACAAGTCACTATTTTCAGTGCGGTTGTGACTTTGAACAGTTGCTAAATGATTGCTTGTAATTCAAGGATTACCTATATGCTGGATTTGCATTCAAAGACCTCATAAACTTGTCCCTGAAATCTTGATTTATGCGGTTTAGTAGACTTCAAGCTATTGGAAGGAGGTAAGAAATGCTACAGGCAGGCATAATGTCACTATCCAGAATGCCTGGAGGAATCTGGTAAGGATAAATTTATCAATTGATAAATTGATGACCCGACAGGACGCAAAGTGAGTTGTGCATGTGTATATGTGTGTGTTTAATTTTAAGAGCAATTTAACGAGGGGCAACTGTTTAATATTACAATTTATTGAGATGGGGGAAGGAAAGGAGGGAGGGAGGAAAGGGGAGAGAAAGGAAGAAAGAAGAGAAAGAAATGAGAAATGGAAGAAGGGAGGGAGGGAAGAGAAGGAGGAAGAAAGGGAGGGAGAGGAAGGCGAAAGAAGGAGGGAGGGGATGGAGAAAGAAAAAAACAAGAAAGGAAAGATGGAGGGAGGAAAGAAAAAAGAAAGGGAGAAAAAAGGAAGGAGTGAAGGAGAGAAAGAAGGAGAAAAGGGAAGAAAAGGAAGGAAGGAAAGCAGGGAGGGAAGAGAAGGAGAAAGAAGGAAGGGAGGGGAGAGAAAGAAACAAGGAAGAGGAAAGAAAGGAAAGAAAAGAAATGGGGGGGAAGAGACAAAGAAAGGAGGGAGAAATATAGAAAAAGAAGGAAGGAGGGAAGGAGAGAACGAGAAGGACGAAAAAAAGGAAGGAGGGAAAGAAAGGAGGAAAGAAGGAAAGGAAAGGGAAAGAAAGAAAAAAAGAAAGGGGAGGGAAAGAAAGAAGGGAAGGAGAGGGAAAGGGAAGGGAGAAAGAAAAGGGAAGGAAGGAGAGGGAAAGAAGGGAAGGAGGGAAAGGGAAGGGAGAAAGAAGGGAAGGGAGAAAGAAAAGGGAAGGAAGGAGAGGGAAAGAAAGAAGGGAAGGAGAGGGAAAGGGAAGGAAGGGAGAAAGAAGGGAAGGGAGAAAGAAAAGGGAAGGAAGGAAGGAGAGGGAAAGAAGGGAAGGAGAGGGGAAGGGAAGGAAGGGAGAAAAAAGGGAAGGAAGGAGAGGGAAAGAAAGAAGGGAAGGAGAGGGAAAGGGAAGGAAGGGAGAAAGAAGGGAAGGGAGAAAGAAAAGGGAAGGAAAGAGAGGGAAAGAAGGGAAGGGAGAAAGGGAAGGAAGGAAGGAAGGAGAGGGAAACAAAGAAGGGAAGGAGAGGGGAAGGGAGAAAGAAGGGAAGGGAGAAAGGGAAGGAAGGAAAGAGAGGGAAAGAAGGGAAGGAAGGAAGAAAGGAAAGAGAGAGAGAGAAACCCTCACAATAGGCTTTATTGCACTTGTCACCGGAGAGAAAAAGATCCTGCAAAACCCCCTCCCTCCTAAAAAAAATGCGCGCCCCCCCCCCCCCCCCGCCCCATCCAACCTGCCACACCAGAGAAATCCCGTTTCCGTGCGTGCATGCACGGGATCCTCCGCTTGGGCGCCTTGCAAAGCCTGCTTGGGAGACAGACGCAGCCCCCC